AGGAAGAAACCTCCAGCAGAACCAGGCTCAGTGTGAGCGGCCATCTGCTGAGGCCCACTGGGGTTCAAGGAGACAGAAGCAGATAAAGACATAAATGAAATAAGTTCTTTAGCGCTCTGGCCCCGGCAGAAGATTTTGATGCCGTGAATCAACATTTGCATGGATGAGTCACCTAGTAACCACCCCCCCCTCCGGGGCCCAGATAATAAGAGTGTAATAAGCCAGAGGGGGAAGCGGACTGAGAGTGAGGGAGAAGACGGTGGGAGGTGGGTGAAACTTTGATTGCGTACAGGAGAGAGAAGCTAAGCTAGGAGCTAAATGAAGGATATCATGAAAGATGATTGGCTTAGGAGAAGGTCCGCCCCCCTGAGATGATTGGCTGGAGCGTAACGAGGGACATCAAAGGAAGGGCAGGTGAAGCTAATAACAGTCTTCCAGATTAAATTTAAGGTTAAGCTTTATTTTGGAAAAAAATAAATAAATTTTAAAATGTGGAGATTTAAGAAAAATAATACAGTTTAAATTTAATTAGATAAAATCTGTAAAATATTTTTTTAATAAAAAAAAACTTGGAAAAAAAACAACTGAAAAGTTAATTTGAAACTGATAAAATAGCAAAATTACTCGTGATTAAGGTTTTAAATTCCTGGATTTCTTTTTTTTTTTTTTATTTTGTTTACAAAATATGTTATTTTCTTGCAACAATAATGAAACAAAATTCCCTCCATAGATTCGTTGCACTTAGCGAAGAGTCTTTAACTTCTCATAAACAATGATGGTGGAAGAGGGGCCCTTTGTTGACCCTCATCAACCCCTAAACAATGCAGAGGGGCCCCTGCAGAACCAGCAGGGGCCTTAAAATCAACAAAGCTGCTTGGTTTCATACAAAAACACAAACTAAAAAAGAAAAATAATGTTTTATGATGTTACTTTTATTTGTTTGCTGCTTTATTTTAAAAAATACAGTTAAATGAACGTGTGAATGTAAACAGCAACAATCAGCTGCATTATTTGTAATTTCCCGCAGAGCTGCTTCCTTTAACTCACCAGACGGTCCCATAGGCTCCGGTTCCGACCTGCTTCAGGTCCCGGTACCGCTCCGGTACCTCCCACACGGTTCTGTTGACCTCCTGCCGGTAGAAGCCGCTCCGGGAGCGCGCAGCTATCGCCATGAGCGGAACCTCATCAGAAGAAATGAAGGTTTGAAGGTGAGGAGCGCAGAGTTTGGATGGAGCTGCGCTGAATTCCTGCAGATGGAGCAGCTGACTGCTCCCCCCACCCGGACAGGGGCCACACAGTCATTGTCTGCCGGGCCCCTGGGCGCCCCGGGCAGCCTATGGGTGTGTCCATGTGGGGGAGAAGCAGGAGAACATCTGCCCACCAACAAAACGCAGAGATTCTCTGACATCTGATCAAGATTCTCTCTCATTTCTCTCAGATCTGCTGAAAGGAAGGGATTCTATGGAAGAGACTTAGGGCCACTGAAAAAAAAAAGTTAACTGATTTTTAAATTTTATTTCATTTTAATATGACTTTTCTCTCAGAATTATGACTTTTTAAACTTAAATAAAATTTAAAAATCGTAACTTTTTTTTTTCAGTTGCCCTAATCCTCTTCCGTAGAATACTCTAGGTCAGAGGTCACCAGTTAAAAGTCATTAAAGTCGGAATAAAGAAAATCATCAACCAGTAAAGATCTGGAGACATTTTTACTTATAATCTGTTACTTTAAACAAAATTTAACTCTAAAAATAAAATGAGGTGTTTATGCTTCCATGTTATATATTGGATTTTTTAAAAAATATTACAAAAATCAAATTTTTCCATTTTAAAATCTGGTCTTAATCAGGGGGTTCGCGACCCCTAGGGGGCTACAGAGGTACTGCATGGGGGTCGTGAAAGTTTTGGTTGATTAAACTTTTTTTATATTCCCACCTGCTGTTTTTTCCACTAACTGAAATGTCTTTAAATCCACATTAACATGAATTGAACAGACTGTAGTAAACAGATAAATGGAGGCAGAAGATGTCTTTCAGTCATCAATGCTCACATTCAGAGACACACAGGAGCTCTTTCAAGCTGGGCACCGTTTCATTCACAACACCTGTCC